GCATGTTGAGCCACTCGACGGTGCGGGAAGGGCTGGGACCGTCCTCGCGGTGTAGGAGGACCAACTGCTTCAGCGCACGCACCGCCGTGTTCTCCAGCATCTGCTCCAGCTGTAGAAGCCATCAGCCACCCGGCGTCACGTTGTCCCACCACCGCCTGTCCCCACACCTCACCTCTCCCAGCGCCGGCTCTTGGTCGCCCAACCCTACGATGAGGATGCAGTCGGCCTGACGGATGCAGCGCACGGTCCACGGCGTCAGGGTACAGTCGGTTTGGTACAGGACGATGCGGTGGATGTCCTCCTGCTGCGCCAGCCAACCCGACAGGCGGTACTCCTGGATGCTGCCGAGATGGAGGGGTCAGCCGGCGGCACGGCGGAGGAGACGTTCCGCCCAACGGGAGTTACCTGTCCAGTGCTGAGGAGCCGAGACGGGCGCGGATGATGTCACTGGTGAGGAGCAGAGTGGGACCTGGGAGAGGTGGGGACGTGGTCATCGGTGTGCCATGTGGCTGTGGTCATCGCCGTGGCATGGTCACCACCACGCCACGGGGCTCTGGTCATCACCATGCCATGGTTGCCACCACACCACAGGGCTCTGGTCATCACCACGCTGTGGTCACCACCATGCCATGACTGTGATCACCACCACGGCGTGGGGCAGTCACCATACCACGGTGCCCACCACGCCACAGGACCACGGTCCCCTCCGTGCCGCAGTCACCGCCCCGCTGGCGCTCACCGATGGCGTTGAGCGCGTGCTTGAGCTCCAGCGTGAAGGCAGCCGTGGGCACGTCGTCACACACCGGCAGCACCGCCACCGTCGACAGGTTGCTGGTGGGGTTGGTGGGCTCCGAGCTGGACGCCATTCCCAAGCTGGAGCCTGCACGGACAGAGACGTGGTGGCAGCAGTGGGGACATCTTCCACGTGCTGCTCCGACGATGGCCACCAGCCCTGGAAGAGCCACCCCTTTGTCCCCAGTCCCAGTGGGACTTACTTGCAAAGGGGCCACGGAGCTGCTGAAGGTTTCCCAAGATCTTCTGGCTCAGGAGGTGGATGAGGCGGGTGACAACCTGCAGGGATGAGGATGGACATCAGACCGGACAGGGCTTCCCAAAGCCATTAACACCCCAGACTGGTGTCCCACACGCCTTTTTGGGTGCCACCACCTACACCCATCCTCGAGGACCCCACAGAGGGACAACCCTTTAGCACGTCAGCCCACCTCCTCCCAACAACCCTAAGCACGTCCTTAATTCCTTAATTAAAGCTGGTTTTAACGAGTGTCGTAGCCACCGGATTGGGGGGACATGGGAGACGTGGTCCTTCTACAGGAAGAGGGTGCAGACCCCTGGATGGGGATCCGGGGGGTACCTGGGGGTATCTGCGCTTGATGTTGTTCAAGGTGCCCTCAGGCAGCTTGGCCAGCTCCGTGTCCCGGACCGCGTGGACCGTGGTGGCACGGGGCTGCCGGGTGAGGGCTTCCACCTGGAGAAGACGACACACGGCCAAGATGTATGGCCCAGACGGATAGGGTGTCCATCCCCCGGCCCCCACACAGGTCTCACCACGCCGATGAGGTCCCCGCGGCCGTACTCCCCGATGAGCTCCTTCTTGCCGCTGCCCTTCTGGATGACGGAGCGGAGGCGCCCGTTGAGCGCGATGTAGGTGCAGTCCGACTTGTCACCCTGCCTGGGGGACGCCACCGGTGGGAGGTCAAACCGGGGCCGAACTGGTCCTCACCAAGTTGAGGTGGGCACCCGCCTGTTGGCACCCCA